GCTAGGTCTTTCTCGTTTTAAATACTTAAAATCCCATAAAATGAAATGCTGCAAAGTACATATGAGCAGTTTATTTTGAAAGTGGCCTAAGTTCATTTATCTTAATTTCTTGGCATCTCTTAGAATCTAGGCATTTAATTAAATAAAGTTTTAAACAAATGTTGTGAAAAATCGTAAATACATAAAATATTCTCTAAGTGTATCTTCGGGTTTGTAAGAATAAGCGAGAAATATTGGTAAAATTGATTTTAAGAGTGAGAGATAAGCCCTGCCTCTTTGTCGGTTTTTGCACTCAAGCAAGCTATTGTTCGTTATCTTGGGGTCTATCGTTCTTTATTGCGAGTGCGAGTGAGAAAAGAAATGGATATTATTTGTTTAAGCGATAGCGAATATCTTTGTTTGGGCCATCGATTGTTAAGTGTTCTGTATTATATATTTCTGATATTTATCATGCTGGAGCAAAAATTTATCGTCTTGGCCATAGAGTGTCGAGCGTTCTGTATATCTATATATGTATCGGCGTATAAGCGCGGCATTTTTATATCGAATCTTGATGCGTATGGCACGCCGTTTTTTCATTTATTGTCAAAAATAGTGAACCTTGATTAAAAGAAAAACAATAATTCATTTTAACAGAAAGTCAATAATTAATGAATCATAAAAAGTATGTTGAATAATTTATTAATTGACATAAGGATTGAGTAATACAAAAGAAGATAAATTTAAATTTTACCAAATCTTGGCGACGTAATTTCATCTAACATTGTTATATTATACAACAAAAATATTTCATTTTAGTAATAACATTATTATTATTTTTACAAAAGCAAGAAAGAAAGAAACCACATTAAACCATTTTGAAAATACCACAATTTTATTGGACTAAAATTTATCGCCAGAAATTGTATATTCTAGTAGAATGTTTGTCCGTGTTTAAAATTAAAATATGAATATGGTTCCCTCCGGTTGTAATTGTTCTCCAATAGGTGTTTGACCATTATCATCATTAATTATCATTTCCGTTAATTTTCCAGCAAAATAAGGATTAGTTTTCGTTTCTCGTAATATTAATTCAGGAGTGTGTGTTATTCTAAAATTGTTTATTTTAAGGAACGTATCTACGATGTAAAAAAAGAATTGAATGTATATATTTTACATACCCTTGTGGAAAATTACGAAGAAGAGACAAAAGTACTCTTTCCCGTCTGTTAAAATTAGAAATTTCGTAGGATCCATCCCTTTTACCGTATCCTACTCCGATTGAAGTAGATATTTCATCTGGTCTGTAACCACGTATCTCTCTATCTCTCGGTGGTTTTTTTCCGCTCGGAATATTGTAACTTCGATATTTGGATCCATTCACCATCAAAACCCATCCGAAAAGTATTAGAGCCATCACTAATCCAAATTGCATGGTTGTGTTTATTTTTCTCACAAGAGTTAGTTATCCTTTAGAGAAATTCAAACATACAGAAACACTGTATATACTTATATATAACATTATTTTATTATTTATTTTGACGATAAAATGTATGGCATATTCAATATATTAGGGTGAATCAGTATTTATTTCATTAAACAATTATTACCTGAAACAATTTCATTATTTTGGATTTTACGGGAAAAATATTCAAAAGAAGATTACACTATTGCAAGAGTCAGATCTGATGGTGAAAAGAATTTATCTCAAGATATTGCAATGGTGTAACTTCGTTTCGAACATGTTTACTACAAAATTAAAAATTATACAATCAAAATTAAAAATAACCAAATCTTATCATCTAATAAAGTATTACTCTAAATTGAAACATTAATTTATTTATTAAGGGAAAGGACCATTCGTTCTTTAAATCGATACGAAAAATTTAATTAATGAACTTCTTACAAGATTGTTTGATTACTTAATACTAAATCTTAAATTTAGATTATTAAATTAAATAAATAAACATATACACACATGAGATGCTAAAATAAATCCATGGGATATTACTTACGTACACGTATTAAAGGATACATTTAAAAATCACTTTATGTATATACAGAACGTACTTTCTACTCTCGTTGTATTCTAATCAACTTACATTAGATCGATTAGAGTTATCATAAGAATAATATATACAAATACATACATAGATATGTAATATTTGTGACTATAATTTTTATTTTTTATCGGATCCAAAAGAAATCATTAAAATTAAAAAATAAGAAACTTAGTATAAATATTTGAAGAAGAAAAATAATAACGATATACCGCAATATTACACAGATACAGCAGGATGCTGTGACAAGTTAGATAAGTCATCTCTAATAACACGTATCACGAAGGAGAGAACTGAATTCTCGATCTAGTTCGGTTGCTTTTGTATGAAGCCGCCTACCCTGGCGTCTCAACGGCCGCAAAAACAGCCGCCGTGCATCGCCTTTTAGTATCAATTTCTCTCTATAATCATTTATATTATTTCATATAAATGAAATAAAATTAAATATATATGATAAAATGATTGAAAACAAAAAATCTAATATTATCTTAGATAAAATTATTTGAAAATTATTAATTTAAATCATGATGATTTAGAAAATATCGTGCCGCCGTAATTGCAACTACCGCCGGAGACCGCAAGTTTCTAGAATAGCCGCCAATGCGTATGCGGACGGATATCTGCAGTCACCCCCATAAACCGCCTACTCCCATTTCATCGGACATAGTAATTGTCCAGCCCCTTGATATGCCCTATTTTACATTACAGTACATGCTAATAAGTATAATGCACTCGTGCCTACGTTCGATTTACTAAACCATATATATCTATCTTCACTTCTTTTCATTACCTTTCAAGAAATTAAATTTACAAATATTATCCTTTACTTTTTATAGAAATATTATTGATAATTATTTTCTTTTTCAACTTTGTCGCCTATTTAAGTAAGTAAGTTTAATTTTTAAATTGTGGGATTCGTAATTAAAAAAATAAGAGTTTAATATATAAAAGAATGTAATTTTTAAATGATATATATATTCTTTTTTTTTTTTTTACTTAAAAATTGATGTTAAATGCGCTTTAAATAAATATACAATACTTTATCTGACAATAAATTAATCGATACATTTTATATAAAGTAATTATTAGAATAATTATCACAAAATTTTGATTTCGCAATGATCTAAAATTACGTTTGGAATTTCGTGGAATACGTATGACCGAGGAATGCCTGAATATTTGACGAAAAGATCCAAGAAACGTATACTTCCTGTTGATTCGCTTTCCGCTTCACTTCCAACTTTTGTACTAAAACATAGTTTTATTTATTAATATTGATAACTCCTAATTAACGATTCATTCTTTAGATTTATTTATTTATTTATATTTTCTTACCTGTCTGTTGTTACGAGAGAAAGTATATACATACAGATATATTTTATATAATTAAATGTAATAGAAATATGGAATTGACGAAGCATAGTTTGTATTCCAGCAACAAATGCTACTGCATCTAAATGATCTTGTGATTTTTTACTTAAAAGACTCGCTGTAAGAATAGTTTTGTATTAACATTAATTAATATAGAAATACAATTTTATCAATATTTCAATAATAATACTTAAATATCAATTTATACCTGTAACGTTGCAATAATACAATTTACCAAGTTGTGACACGGTAAATAAAAACATTACAAATGAAATATTGTTTACATGTAGAGGTTTAATATAAGATTTATTAATAGGATCGCTTATGCCAGCCCAATCTAATCTTAAACTGAGCTCGTGAAGTAATTGGATTTCGTCTGAATTTTTTATTTTTCTATCCTCGCTTAAATTGCTTGACTTAATCTCAGACAATATTGCTCTATATATACGTATAAAAAAAATATACGCATCAAGAATATTAAGTTAAATTCTGTAATAATTTATATAATGACAAATGACATACGTGTTTAATGTCTGCAATGCTGCTTCCATATGTTTCGCTTCAAATTTACATGCTGTATTTAATTCATACGCTATTTTTCTTCGAAGTATTTGATAATGACCTATTTTTAATATCCAATCTAATATTTGCAGCCACATTTTATTTCCATGCGTACCAACGATGGTCTGCAATTTTGTCATCATAGCTGCATATGTTCGTGTAATAATATTATTAATATAATTTGTCAAAGTAACATTCTCTATTATTTTCAATCATATTGTGTGTCATACCTTTAGGGTTTTCTACACTATTTAAAATAGTCAAACATTCATCAATGATAGAAGACCATTGTTTGTTACGCATTTCTTTTTCCATATAATTGATTACATTTTCCAATTCAATCACAATATAAAATGATATCAGTTTATCCATGCCTGCTAATGCTGGAGTACCTATTGCATCTAATATCATTGTAAAAACTCTGTGATCTATTATCTCGCTTAGCGTCATGACATTGCACCAAGCAAGTGCATGCTCTATGTAAACAGTAGTTCTAAAAATGATTTACAAAATAAACACACTATTATGCTTCATAAATAGATATATTAGGTAATCCTAGGTAATATTATTTTTTTAATATTACCTAGGATCAGTAATACGAATAAGTTCTCGAGTAAGCCTGCCAATAAAAGTTAAACAATTGTTTTCTGTTAACGAAGGATGTTTTTCATTTGAAAAGTATCCCCATGCTTTTCCAGGGATCCAAGAAGATCCTCTTTGTTCTTCTTCAATTGCACTATCTATAATATAAATAATCTAAACGGAAAATATTTTTTTATGAGAACAAGATAAGGATTAATTCCACTATTTTCTCATTGATGCTTACTTCTTCATGCCATATTTTTAAACTGTTGATATTTATATAATCTTGAATATATTGAAAAGATTTACGATAACCGTCCATTATGGAGGCTAAACTTTTTAATTTTTGAGGTAATGTTACCTACAATAATTTAAATGTTACAGTAACTATAACAATGTGTTTCTAATATTTAAAATATTATATAGATTTATATTATACATACTTTTGATTTTGAATCAAAGATAAGACCATTTTGCAATGATAAAGTAACTTGTTTCACAAGTTCCTGACGTATACCATCTTCTAAAAGACGATGCGAGTCCACTCTTAAAACACCTAATGAAACACTTCTTAAAGAAAGTACTCCTTTTGTAAAAACCGATACATCATATGTTAATTTTGCCATCTACATAAATACATAACATTGTATGTAATATTATTCAAACGAGCATATATTATATATANTATATATTATATAAATTAGAAACAAATAAAATACTGAATTTGTAAAAATTCTACAATTTTCAATACCTGTAATCTATCATCTAATTGAGCATAATCTTTCAATTTGTCTTTGGGTAATTTTGTTGGTATTTCTTTAAAAGCATTTGTTTCTAAATGCACTATCTGAGCGAGTAAACCAAAAACTGTCTCAGGAATAATCTGCAAGACTCTTCTAGCGTAACTTTCTAATTCTCTACTGTAATATTGAGACACGGAAGATAAATCAGAACTACATGCTTGATTTATACGTAGTAATGGCGTCTCTAAAGCTGAAGCCATCTATAAAAAAAAGATATTGTGGCTCATTGCGTTGTACTCGTTGCTTTTTTCTTATATTTTTTCTTATATTTTTTCTTACTTTTAAAAACAATGCTTTCAATTTGATCACTGTCGGAGGATTCTTTTTTATACTGAATTGTATAACATCAGTAAAAGTTTCCATTATGTTCCACGCATAACTGCAATCAGTTACTATGTTTAAATTAATTATAGTATCTTCCGCAATATTTCCTGTTCGTAGCATATTATGCAATATTTCACGAGTATCCGACAAATATTGAGATACATGTAGATTATTTTCCAATTGATGAAATTCTAAAATCATTTAAAATTAATGATACAATACATGCAATAACAAATTTTTATCTAAATTTTACCTTGCACGTATTCCAACGCCTGTAATAATTGAACAATTTTTCTACTATCCTCTTGTTGCAAAGAATTAATATGTTTACTTATCTCCATAAACCATGCATGCAAATCTTGAATTTTTTCAATACCATCCAGAGATTTGTTATCGCCAAATATTTGAGCTAAATCAATGATGCGTTTAACACAAGCTTCTTTATCTCCGAACCATTTAGTTTCTTTTCCAACTAATAACTAATAACAAATATATAATTGTTACTTCTTATAAAAATGTTAAAACAAATTATTTTTTACATAAATATATAATATTTCTCTAGGCATAAAAAATATTTTTAAATTATATTCACCTCTTTATACGTTTGCTTAACATCTTGCTCAATTTGTGCTGTATTCAATAATAAACGAAGACAATTAATCTCTGTATATTTACTTTCGGTAATAACAAGTTGTTGAAGAGAACGGGAACGTTTCGATAAATTTAAAGAAGTTGTATGCAATAAAATCCAGCGTAATGTTACGTTGCAATCTCGTACTAAATTCACTAATGATCCTATTGCATTTTCATCCAGTGTGCCAGCTAACTCTACTTCTTCGGTTTCACGTAATAATTCCTAGAATATGATACTAACAATGTGAATTCAATTAGAAATAATATGTATTACTTACCTCCATTTTCTGACCGTGCTTTTGAGCTATAGTTCTTATATTAGATGTTTCAAGATTATTATTAAGAGCTGTTCTTGCTGCTTTATACGGTAACCACCAATCTTTCAAGTTTATAACTATTCCCATGTAAATACTGATCACCCAATTATCAGAAAAGAATTTATCTACAATTTCTCTCATCACTGTGGTTTGCGTATTTAATATGTCTGGTATAAAGCAAAGAATTATAACCAACATTGATGCTTGAGTTGAAAGAGCAATGCTTCGATATTCTGGTTGATGATTATGAAAAGCAGGTCTTTGATTGTATAAATCACCAAATCTTAAACAACCAACGATTCCTTCTATTAACGAATCATCTAATGATATTCTCCTATAAAATAATTTTATACTCCTAAACTATACAATATTTATTATATACATATCCATCAAATTTTGTATATAGTTAAATAAACATAGTTTTTAAATAAATAAAAATTAAATGACATATTTTGAAGTCATACCCAAAATAATCTTCAGGATAATTACTTGGACGTTTTCCTAGTATTCTACTATATCCCGTTGATCGAAGTAACATACAAATATCATCCACTTTAGTAGACGATGATTCCTGAGCATTGTATCGATAATAAGATACAAGTAAACGTTCACGAACTCTTCCTTCAAAATGATAATCTACTAATAACAACATTACTCCATATAAATATACTGCTTCACACTAGAAATATAATAACAAATAAATATAAAATACGATTTAACTCTTATTTATTTTATATTAATATAAAATAAAATTATACCATCAATTGTTTTCCATCTTCAGATGACTCGACAGTACCAGAAGACTGATAATCTTCTTGATTTAACTTATCAACATAAAAATTCAAATCTGTTACATATTTGTGTATACTTTCAAATGCCAGATAAAAGCGTGATAATAATTCAGAAAAATTATTTCTTATTTCTTCATCCGTTTCTTGAAGCACCTGTAAATATAGTTCACAATTTAACAAAATTAATATATTGGTACCTAAATAATTAAAAGTATTTGTTAAAAATACAAGTTTATTAAGATAAATAAATTATAATTTGATAAAGTCATTGTAAAATTCCTCACCGGATCATCCTCAATTTTTTTTTCATACGTACTAGTTGCTTTGAAATAAGAAAAATCATTCAAGATCGAACCATATTTTTGAATAACTTGTTTCGTATCCAAGCTGTACAAATAAAAATTATATCTTATATTTAATATATAATAAACATATAGATATACATGTGTATATATTATATTTTAAAAATCTTTTAGATAAATATTATACCTATATAACTCTCATTATTTAATAGTACACAGTTATATAAAAAACCAACCTAAAAATCGGTGGAACATAATCCTTTAAGCGCATCAATTCAGCTATAATTGCATTTCCACGAGAAACTAATCGCAATAATGTTTGTCCTCCAACATTATTAACAGCTAAGTAGTCACCCATTTTTAATTTTATAGAAAGAAAATATATAAAGTGTTAAAAAGATGATTAAAATGTCACTATAAACGTCACTGTCAATATTTTGCTGCTATCAACTGCAATAAAATTTAAATGATGATAGAAACTTGATATAATTATCAATTTTAATATTAATTTTTAATACTTCTTATTCGAATCAAAACTTACAATTTTTTATGCAAAACTTAAACATAAATAATTAAATTTTATTTTGTTGTATAAGATTATATTCTTGATAAAACACTTATCATTAATAAAATGATAAATCTATGAATATTAGTACAATATAAATTAAATTTATATTATGTTTCGATATTTAATAAAATAAAAAAGAAATGATAATAAATAGATTTACAGGTTAATTTTTTTTTCAGTCAATATATGCACTTATTTGAAATTAAACATACGTATATGATAAATAATGATTGATCTTACTATAGAGGTGGTAAACCATGTGATTCTGTTATACAATAATGCTTGCATCACAATTGAAAATATTAGTCTTAATTTCGCGCCGATTTTCCATAATTAGAAATCTAACCTTGTTTTAAACAATTTGTTTTAAATTCTTCCATTTTATATCTTTTTATGTTCTTCATTTCCTTTTTTTTCAAACAACAATAAATTCAAATGTTTAATATATATTAATGTATTCATACATATAAGTTATACAATTAGAAACGAATATGAAACTGTCACATTCTAAAACAGATACTTGATATCTATTTCGAGTTATATGCAATGTGTTAATCGTTTATTTATATCACACTAGTGTGTGCTGATTTTCTCGTTGATCTTTCAAGTACATTTTAACGTAGATTTAAAACTACACATTTTATTATTTTTTCCTAAACAATCAACGTTTTTATTTCCAATTATGGATGAAATATATTTTCGCATTACAAATCATCTAGAAATATTACAGGTATCCTTTTTTTTTATTATAAAGATAATTACTACAACTAAAATCCACGTATTTATTATTATAAAATTAATTTATGTAATTTTACTTTTTTCATAATTCTTTTATAAATTTTTTT